AATTGATAGAAATAATCTTGCTAATTTGAAGATTTCTAAAAGTGAATTAGAATTTAGAAATTATCAAAATATGCAAATTATTTAAAAAATGACAAAGAAAATTCAGTATTTATTGAATCAATACAAAATTATTTTTGAAGATTCAAGTAAGTATAAATTTTTGCAAATATTTGCAAATTTTGGATTTATTCTATTTTTATGTTTATATTAATTTATTTTAAAAGTTTTTGCAAATTTTTATAATTTTATACATTTTATATAAATTCTAAATTTTGCAATTTTATTTACTTATATATTATTTTAAAATCTTTTGCAAATTTTTACAAGTTTTTGAAATATTATATGTATTTGTATAAAATTGTATGTTTTGCAAACTTTTGCAAAAGTGTGTAATTTTTTATTATACAGTATATATAATTCTAAAATTTTCAAAATGTTTTGCAAAATTTTTATAAATTTATATATTTATATATATAATTCTAAATAGGTTGCAAATTTTTGTAAAATTTTGTAATTTTAGACTATATAAATTTAATTACTTGGTTTTCATAACTTGAAACTTTTAAATAGATCCGGCTAGCTAGCTTTTTTTTTTAAATTTCATATATAAAATTTTATAAAATTTATAAATTTTTTTTTTAAAACCCACCTGGTTATTAAAACATATAAAAATTTTTTTAAAAAATTTCAAATTTTGACCCAGCTGAGTTATGAAAACCAATTAATTAATTTTGTATAGCCTTATATATTTTTATATATATTTTTTAATTTTTGCAAAAATTTGTATTTTTATACTTTTATATATAATTTCTAATTATTATTAAATTTCTTAATTTTAATAATATTAATATTTATGAAGCTACAGTAATTGATAGAATGCATCATTTAGATTTGGAATTGTATAACTACCAAATTACTTATACTTGTAACCTTTTAAAATCCAAATATAGACATTTAATATTGAATAAAATAAATAATAGATTAGCAAATATTTCAAGACATTTTAGATTAAAAATATTTAAAAATAAAATACAAACTGCTAATATGGCAAATAAATATCATAATCTTATAAAAATTATAATATTTGTTTTAGATGATTTGACAAAAGATGTAGAATTAAACAAAATATTAATGAAAGTTTATAAAGACTAGAATAATATATATCTTATAAGTATATATGAAGAGTTTAGTGAAAAAAATTTAAAAAATTTTGAGATAATTTTATTATTTTTAAATAAATTAAAATTTTTAATATTAATATAATTTATTATTATTTAGAATTTAATAAGAAGTTGGGCAAAAAAATTTGTTAAAAATTTTTAAAAATTTTCTTCATTAGGATTTAAATTTCTAAATTATATTCATGGGTTTATCATATAACAGATTTATGGACCTTTAAATAAATTTTCTACTAAAACATATGAAAGTCTTTATAAAAATTTTGTCAAATCACTTTATTATTTGACCAATAAAAAAGATATAGAAATTCAAATATTTAAAAATAGTAAATATCTAATTTTATAATATTTGTTATATTTAAATTTTAATTTTAATTAATTTAAATTAAATAGATTCAAAGACAAGATATTGTAACAAAATTATCTGCCAAATCAAATCAAAATACTAAAATTATATATCCTTTTAAATTTAATAGTTTAATTTGGAAATTTAATTTAAATAATGTTTAAGAATTTATTAATAAAGAGCAAAAAAACAATAATTTAAATTCAAAATTACATTTTGGTTTAAATAATTTTTTAAAAGAGAAATTATATTCATAACACCATGTTATAGTCACAGGATCTACAAATATGTAATAATAGGTAGTTCAAATTTATTTGTTGTTGTTAAAAACCGGTTTTAATATATATGTTTCATACGGCAATTTATGTACATACAGATATATAAACAAGAGGCTTCATTTTGCTGCAGGGGCACGATTATAAAAATTGAACCTTTTTCGATTTTGTCTCATGAAATGATAAAATAAGTTTGTTAAATATAGTATGAAAATCTATTCACAAAGCAATAAAAATTATACCTTTAATAAACACTATACATAGTGCCATCAACCTCACATTGATATCTTGATATTTATCATCGTTAGGCATTCAAGCTTGTTAAAAGTGTTGGACATTCTTCTGAGCTCAATAAAGTGGTGAACATTCTTGCTTCGAAGTGTTTGGTTGTTCTTATTTCCGGGAGGTAAGAGACGTTCACTTTTTACATGTGATTATATTAAGAGTAGGATAAAATATCGATAATTGTAACTTTTCAGTATACTAATTTACGCTTTTTTTTTTTTTTTCAGACCCAAAAAACCTTCTTGACTACTCTTTGCCTTTCTAATTTTCACTGGGTTTTTTGCCGTTCTTATTTTTGGAAAGTAAAAGACATTCTCTTTTTACACGTGATTACATTAAGATTAGAAAGAAATGTAACTTTTCAGTATACTAAGTTACTTTTTTTTTTTTTAGACCAAGAAAACCTTCATTGACTACTCTTTGGCTTTTTAATTTTCACTGGTTTTTTTGCCTTTTTACTCCCTTGTAACTTTAATAACAGTTATTACAATAAAGACTTATGGAGTTAAATTTAGAAACTTCTATAAAATTGTTTTATTTGCAAGTGCAAGATAATGGTACTCATAAAGGACAACATTTAGTTGAGATGTCTGGTCTGTTGCCTTATATTAACGAACAAATAGTATTCTCTATTGATGATACTTTTCCTAACTGGCTTATTGCAGAGCATTATATTGCTCAATATGGTCGTCAAAAAGGGTTTGTTCCGATTAAAATACGTAACAAAACGGACATTTAATTAACTTGTATTACAAATGTGAGTTTGGCGGCACTTGTCAATCAAAAAAACTGTAGCCAACACAATAAAGGCTCAAAAACTTAACTGTAATTGGCAACTTAATTTATCATCATCAACGGGTTTGGTTCGTATTACTAGCCTATGCGATTAATATGTCGAACACCAACTTTCACCATATACTATGATTTTTGCTCCTATTAATCGTCGCTTCTCTGATGAATGTTGTGAGGATATTCGCCATTTAGTAATCAATAGTCGTTGTGATTTATCAACAATATAGTCTCTTGTGTCTGCCAAGTATCCTAATCAGCTTTTTTTAACACAGGATCTAGCAAATGTTGTGGCTCAGCTACAACGTGAACATCATATAGAAGGAAATGATGCATCACGACTTCTAACACAGCTTTATGAATACAAAGAGATGGATCCTAACTGGTACATCAAGCCTTTAATTGATCCTATTAGCAATCGACTTCGTGAGATTTTTTGGATAGATCCAGGGCAATGAGAAAGATGGATCCGGGTTTGTGATATAATTATTCAAGATAATATAGCACAAACAAATCATTACAATTTTTCATTGTTCTAGTTGATAATTATAATAAAACCAGAATTGCTGCGCAGGCTTTAATGCCTAATGAGATAATTGAATCTTTTTAATAGGTTATGCAACAATTGGAAGAAGCAACAGGAATTCTGCCAAAGGTGTTAATGACAGATGAGGATCTTTTGATGAAACATGTAGTTAATAACTTTCCTAATATAACTCATCTTTTTTGTTTATATTACTTGGGTCAAAACATTTTAAAAAACCTTCGAAGCAAACTTGGTAATCAATATACAGAATTTATTCAAAACTTCTATCTGGCATGTAATAGTCTAAGTGAAGACATATTTGAAGCACGTTTTACAAACCTCTTAAATAAATATCCAACTGTATCTTCCTATCTACAACAACTATCATTTATTAAAAAATCGTGGGCATGTGCTTATACATCTAAAATTTTCACAGGTGGAATACAGTCTACTCAGAGAGTTGAGAGTCTCAACAATCTTATTAAAACTGCTGTCAACAGCATATCCACATTAATGGAAGTTATGGAGGCAATTCATCAACATCTTGAGTGTGAAAATCTCAATCAACGATTTATCTCATGGTCTTAAGATCGAATTAACTATAACAATCAAATTGTACTGCAACATGTTTTTCCTCAAATAGTTAAACAAATTGATAAATATCTGACGTCTAATTTAGCAGCAGAACAGCAAAAACAAATTGTTGAATCTACTGTATATCGAGCTTAAATAATTTCACTTAACGATATTGAATTTAATAACCAAGTAAGTAATATTGTATATAGTTTAATTTTCTTACAATTGCATAATACTTTAATCATATGAGTTTTATACTCTGAATATAGGATGTTGAATATAATAATGACTTCATTGAAAATATATATGACACTTCACAGTCATATTTATTAGCTCTAATTAGTGAAAATGAATATTCGACTATTCAAGAAGTTTAGAAAATCACATGCTTAATATCAACTAAGTCGTTCTATTATGTTATATTGTTTAAAGATAGACGTTATTCATACACCTGCCTTCACTTAATTAGTTCTGAAATTGTGTGTCAGCACTTTTTCAGTATATTAATTGAATTAAACTTTGCAAGATTTCATATCATGCTATTACCTATTCGATGATATAAAGATGAAGTAACAGAATCTAAATGTGCTAAAGAATCATTTTTAACATCAATCCATCATACTGACTTAGTTCCTATTATACATCAACTAAGTACCTCAACAAGAACGAACCTACTTCAACTTGATAACCTTCAGGAAAATCGGTTCCATAAATGATTAGAAAAAAAAATTCGGTTTAACAAAACAATGAGTTTCACAAAACAAGCGATTGTACTGCAAGGTGAAAATAATAGCGATAATGAATTAGATGATTTTTTGAAAGACTATATTGAAAAAAAGAACCTTGAACGTGAAAAAGAAACACAAGAAAGGGAACGTAGAATTCTTAAGGAGCGTCATAACACAGAGGAAGTTCTTGCTATACAAGTCGGTAATGATCAATTAGTTTCTGTTGAAAATATTTTAGATCTTGCTTATCATGTCGGAAAAGGCACCAAGCAAGAAACGTATTAAAGGTGCACAAGAGAATAATCAAACTAAGAAAAATTAAAATCAAGAATTTGCGGATTCTGTTACCAACCTAATCATTACCAAAACACATGCCCACAAAAAAAATCCAAATTAGAAAAAAAATAATGTTAATAAGCTAGATAGATGAAGGTTTTATATATGTATTAATGGAAGTATTATTTTGGGGTTTTTTTTGCTATATTTGAATAGAAAATAATCTCAAGGCCGTTATAGTATATTACCTTCACTATTGCCTCTTTTTTACAAACTTGTCTATTAAAATTGCAAATTCAATTAATGAAAACAACTCATTTTAATAATAAGGTTAGAGTAAGTATAAGCTGTCTTAAAAATCTAGCTGGCATACATATATTAAACGTGTCTGTGCCTAACACTATGTTTTAATAAGGCACTTGCAAAACTCTAATTACACTATACTTTGACTTTTTTGGATCGGTAGTAAAATATCAACTTATTAACACATTCTTGTTTACTTTCATTTTTTCAAGATCCTGCAGTTCAAAACTAGATATAGTAATTGTGAGTCTACTACAAGTAGAGGATTATCCGCACATGCAATTTGACATCTTTGCCTAATTATTATAATACACGCAATCAAGTTTTGATTTGATGTGTATTATTTTTGTTTTATATTATTATCGTTAAATTAAATAATTAGAAGTATAGTATATACAGTATATAGTATAAATAAAAAAATTAAAATACTATATATTTATGTCACGTGATTGGGTGTAATATAACATGGTATTATAAATAATCGTCCTTTTTAGAATATTTGGATATATATTTTGGTTTAATAAGACAAAATAATCCAAATAATAGTATAGTTAAAATATATAGTTTAGTAACTATACAAAATGAATTAATAATTTATGCAACAAATAATTATTATAGAAAACCTTGCTATAGTAATGTAGCTATTGTTATGAATTTTGAAGAATCATCTGAATATACATCAGATCAAAGAATTTGTTATAGACAGATATGCTTGTTAGCAAAAATTAAATTAGAAGCTAAAATATTTAATTTAGCTTTAATTTAATGGTATAATTTAACTCTAAGAAAAAGCTATTTTATTATAAATGTCCTAGGCTTCAATTAATTAAATTATATAATATAATTGATATTGAAGCAATTAAAGATAATATTCATATAATTCCAAGATTTGATAAAATTAATAATTATTTAGTAAATAAATATATATTTTAATTTAGAAATGTAATAATTATTTAAAATAATAAATAAATATATATTTTAATAATAAAAAATAACAAAAATTAGAAAAAGTTTCTGAAAACATAATTTATAAATTATTTTTTAAAGATAATTCTAATTGTAACAATGTGTTACATAACAACCTATACTCAAATTCTTCATAACACAAAATTTTACTAAGATAATCTTTTTTGTACTGCTAATGAAAAATGACCCTTTTATAATTTTGTATTAATTTTAATATAAATTTTAAACCTAATTTAACTCTAACCCTAACCTTAATACTAACTTTAGCATTAACACTAACCTAACCCTAACCTTAACAGGTTGTTACAAATAGATTATTTCATTTTTTAAAACACAAGAAATTTATTAAACAATTAGCAATAATATATATAATTAAAGCGAATACATTTAAAACATTTCACAATACTTCATATAATTTTATTAATAGATTAAATACTATAAATTAACGAATATAGAGGTGTGGCAGCTTAGTGAAGTGGTCAAGTTGTCACCCTCTCCAAGTAGCAGGTCTAGGGTTCAAATTCCACGGACGACGAAAGTTTGAAAAATAGGCTTGCATTATAGTAACGGATCTTCATTAAGTTGGGGCTTAGATTAACCTGTAACTTCGGGTCACACCAATGCTCTGTATTAGAAAGTTGTCACTGTCGGGCGTCTGCGTACTACCGAGTGGCTATAGGATGTCCCGATAGTGTTGGTAACACCGAGGA